ACAATAAGATAGGTTTAAAATTAAGGTTTGGAACAGAGTTTAAACCTAAGAACCTCTTAAGACAATGTGTTTCTAGATTTCCTAAAGATAAAGACAAAAAGACATTCTTTCAAAGTGTTCTAATGTGAGCAGTTTAACACAAATTCTATTTCATTCTATTACTTATATTCTTTGTTTTCTCCAAGATGTAAACAGTCGCTGAGTCTCTCAAACTGTTTTTTTCCACTGAGAATTGTAGAGCTTCACATGTATTGTTTTCTTTCATGCAGTTATTTGCAAGATGGCCATGGAAGATACTGAACATGAGTCAATTTTCTAACAGCATGGAGGCTGATGTTATTGGCTCAGTAGCACATTTACCACTCAGGGAGGAACAGGGGGAAAGGCTCTAAGTTACAGTTTACAGATATGAAACTATTACCAAGGAGACTGGCTTCTTAGGCAGCTGTGCTGCCACCACAGGACAGTGCAAGATCAGTGTCTAGTCTTTGGTTAGGGGCTACAGGAATCAAATCTTGTCAGCACACAGCATTGAGATTTCCATAGATCAGCTAACATAGTAGCTGGTTTATTGCTCTTCAAGAACTATAGCTGTACGAGGGGCTGAGTAACTTTTAGTAGCTTGGGCCTTCTCCACATGAATGGGAACACCCCTGAGTGAGAGTGCAGGCTGCAAAGGGAGGAAGAGGTTTTACTTGGTAAGACATCTTGAACCCATAACCACAAATGCCTCTCAGATCTTTGGAAGTGTCAGGTTCTCTATATCCAGGTCTTTTATCCCCTTCACAGTCCTAGAGGAGCACCAACAACTTCTACCCAACTTCTGTCTTCAGTGTTGCATGACCATTAAACTGTGTATAGCATTCAGGCTGTGTCCTTCCGGCCTCGGACATTTTGCCTCTAAGGTTCACCTACCTATTGCCACTTATGCTTTTTTTTTTTTTTAACTAATTTGATAAATGGGAGGTACTGAAAGGAAGTTTGATATTTTCTAAAATAATGAACCTGTTTGGTACTAGTAGTTTTCAGAATAGACTTTATCAGGGATGAAGATATAGCAGCTTAGTGGTAGAGCTCTTGCCTAGCATGCAGGAAGCCCTGGGCCCAATTCCTAGCATTGCAAAAAAAGGAGAGGGTGCAGTTTAAAGTCAACCAAAAGTGTCAGTGTACCTGAGGTTTTTTGTTTTTGTTTTGGATGTTACTGGTACTTCATGCAGGCTAGGCAAATATTCTACCACTAAGCTATACTCCTAGCATTCCTGAGTCTCTCCATAGAACACTGGGCCTCATATTTGTCCACCTAATGGTATAGAGGAATATAATGTGTCCACAGCATTATTCATCTACTGGTATAGGTGGAAAATAGAAAAGTTGAATAATCAACAGACTTAACAAAACATTACCAGTTTCTTCAAGTCTGCCTCCCCTCAATTCTTGTTCTTCCTAATGTCTTTTTCTTGTGGGGGCGAGGGGTGTGGAGGTTACCGGGAATTGAACTCAGAGGCACTCAACCACTGAGCCACATCCCAGCCTTATTTTTTGTATTTTATTTAGAGACAGTATCTCACTGAGTTGCCTTGTGCCTTGCTTTTGCTGAGGCTGGCTTTGAACTCGCCATCTTCCTGCCTGAGCCTGCTGAGCTGCTGGGATTACAGGTGTTCACCACCACACCCAACTCCTAGTGTCTTTGATTAAAAATGGGTCTTCCAATCACAGCTACTGCTGTTCTTTTCCATAGGTTTGCATCTCATAAGCACCCTGTATACAGTTACCTGCAGACACCTGAGAGGTGTGCAGGTGCCTGGGGGAGCTGATAGCCTCAACTGCTTTGAATACTTGCTTCTTGGGAGAGTTGGAGGCAATTTTTTAGAGCATTAATTGGGAAGGTCATTCTATTTAAGCAGTACAACCTAGGTGGGGCAGTTTATTGGATTGTATGGACATATGGAAAATGTAAATGGTCTGCTTTATGCTTTATATTAACAACCAGTGAATAAGAAGAAATGTACATTTGTTTCCGGTCTTTGTTTGTGGTTCCTGGCACAGAGCTCCAAAAACTTGTGATTTCCTGAGTAATGGATGATAAGGACATCTTTTGTTACAATATTTTATCATGGTGCTCAGCTTCTGACATAAGAGCTTCTTTCTAAGATCCTTGCACTCTCCAAAGCGATGAGTGATCTGGTATGCTACCAAGATGACAGGTACTGGAGGCCCTAGATGGCTTTAGGCTGAGGCTCAGTCCCAGGAAGATCAAGGCATGGCCAGAGGAAGGGTGATATGCCTGAGAGGACCTGCCCCTTGCCCTGCGCGTCACTTCCATGGGCTGTTTCTGAGTTGTATTCTTTATAACAAGCCAGTAATTAACCAGCAAACTACCCTCTTTAATTCTGTAAGCCTAGATTCTAGTAAATTCTCAAACCTGAATAGGGTATTATGGAAGCACCCCCAAGTTTGTAGTATGAGTGCCTAGATTAGTGACTCGTGTCTGCCATGGAAGCATTCTTGTTAGTCTGATCCTAACTCCATGTACATAGTATCAGAATTGAAGTGAATTGTTGGACACTCAGTTGGTGAATTTGTTGACATTATGGAGAAAGACCCACACATTTGGTGTCAAAAGTGTTGGAATTGGAGACAGTTCAAAGTGAAATGCATCCATTTTGTGTGCTGCCCCCATGGTAGTGGTTACCTTTTGCATGTCAGCATGAAAGTGATTTGTGGTCTTCAGTGATAGCCACAAGACTGCTCTCCTAGTTCATGAGGGCTCCTGAAATGACTAGCACATAATCACGACTAACAAGCTGTTGTCAGTAGTATTGGTTTACAGATCAAGTTGCAAACATGTATCATTCAAAAATGCCATTTCCCTCCCAGAAGTATGTTTGATATATTTGACTAGCAAGTACATATATTCTTTAAGTTTTTTTGTTTAGAACAAAAAGAAAGGCTTTTGATGTTTTCATTACACTTCCTTTTTGACACCTTTGTGGATCCCCTTGGGGAAAAAGGAAAGAGTCTTGCTGGAGCTTCTCCCTCCATCAGACTCCACTCTCAGTGCCCACTTCTGAGCTGGAAATCACCTCAACCTTTTTCTCCTCTCAGTCTCCTGCATATTACCACCCTAAATGCCATCAAGCATTATCTTTAGCATTCATAGGATGTTGGAGACTGTAAGCATTGGGTGCTATGGGATTCATAGGTCTGCTCCTTGGTTATTTGTGTTCCTAGTAAAATATAGTGGGAACATATTATCCTCATTAAACTATTAAAAAAGATCTTTGGGTCAGCGCACAACTGATTGAAAGCACCACAAAATATTTGTCGGAAATACACCTATATTTTTGAACTTAATTTTTCTTTTGCTTTGTGTAACAGAATCTTATGTCAGTTGCTTCAATTCTAAATAGAATGTCAGCAAAGCTTTTGATCCTGTGGTCCCCAAACAAAAACCAAAACCACATTTCTATATTCAGTAGAAGACAGAATTCATCTCTAACAAGGAAAAGAAACTTTTTAATTTTATAATTTAGGCTCTTTTTGAGGTATAGCTAAGACTTGGTTCTACTCTGTAGTCCGCACAAGGCCAAGAAACGGCCAAGATTATTGGTACCATGGTCCCTGCGTCTTCAGAGCTTACTGCATTCCAAACCAGCCTCCTGCTCCAGTTTCCCTCACTAGAAAATTGTCTTCTGCCCTGTAATAGTTTAGATATGAGATGTCCCCTCATAAAGCTCATGTGCAGAGGTGAAATGATTGGGTTATGAGAACCTTAACCTCTTGGTGGATTAATAGGCAGTAAGTGGGCAGGTGGAGTATGGCTGGAGGAGTTGGGTCCCTGGGGGCGTGCCTTTGGCCTTCATGTCTTGTCCTTAGTGAGTAGAGTTCTCTAGGCTTTCTGATTGCCATGTTCTAAACAGCTTTCCTCCTCACCTGGGGCCCAAAGATGTGCAGATAGGGAAACAGCTGTCTGAACTGAGACCTCTGAAACCTGGAGCACTAAATAAACTTTTTCTCTTCTAGAATTGTTATTGTCTGGTTTGGTCACGACAGCAAAAAATTTAAAATGTCTTCCCACCGTTTAAGAAACACACAGAGGAGGCTTTTTTTTTTTTTTTTAAGAATATTAACAATCATTAAGCAGACCCTTAATCATCTTTGGTTTTCATCCATAGTTCGACACAAAAACCAAAATGGAAGCTTAAAATTGAATATAAGTCCAACTAAGACAAATATTACTCAAAGTCACTTCGTGTATTCCTCTATTTTGAAATGGGCTCATTTCCAAGATAAAAATATATAGATGCTATAAAAGTCATCTACTTGAGAAACCTAGGAAGAAATATATGCCACATTTCATGATACATATTTTGTTCTACCACTTATAATAGTTTACTCTTTATTAAAATGATTTGGTGTCAATGATTTTGGTAACTTTCTGAGAACTTGTAAAATGAGATATGGTATTATGTTTGTACAAATATTATTAAACTTAAACTCCTAATTTAAAAACTTCACCTTGGGTCATTAGTAATATTTTATAGATCTAATCTTTATTACTTAGCCTTTATTCACAAAATCTACTCAGGTTCTTCCTGAAGATATATTTTTGCTACTAACTTATTTTTTAAAAAGCAAAGGAAATGCCAAGAAATCTCACATTTCTGTTTCTATCAATGAGATTTCTTTATGAACAAGTTTTAATGTATAAGCCAACTATTTTTATTTGCTTGGTACCATATGAATGTATTTAAATAGGAAATACTTAGCTTTAGTCATCAAATTAAGATTATTAACTAAAAAAATTACTCTCAGTAAACTTCAGAATACATGCACCAGGCAAAATAAAAAAGTAATTATATCAGTTGGATTGTACTAGGTAACATCTTTATTCACTTATGAACTAGATGTTTAGTAAAGCTCAACAAGTACCCCTCTGGAACGGCATAAGTTAGGTCCTGTGGTTGCAAATATTAACTCCAATTATTTCCTTTCCACAGTGCTCCAACTGAGGCTGCAACAAAGGAGGACAAGAGAACAACTAGTGGACCAGGGCATCATGCCACGTAAGACCCATGTTATTTTCACCTTTGGTACTTTACAACAAGATGTGCATGTCTGAGGAGAACCTGTGTCCCACCCACACTTCAGTCATATAGACTGAATTGGCGTTCAAATACCAGCCAATTGATGAGGAAAGCCAGGCACCGCATGACCAACCTAAGGAAACCATGTAGAATACATTTTAAAAACCAGGTGCATGTTAAGAGATGGACTTAAAGGTGTTATTTATATAAAATTCAAGGCACTAAAATTCTTCCTTTGAACTTTAAAATTGGTTTTAGTTTTAAAATGACTGAAGTAATCAGAGATTACACTTGCAAAAGTAATGTGATAAAAAATCACAACTTTATTCTTAAATAACTCAGATTATCTTTGACGCTGTACTGTAGTCAATATAACTAAATGTATCCCAGGTACAAGACTGATAAACATTCTTTAATAAAATCTTTCTGCCCTGAGTATCCCTATAGAGACCTTTGAAAGTTGATTAATTTTGGAATAGTTGTTGTCTTTAATCACAACTTTAGAGGAAATTTTATATTTTACAGGGGAGGAGTGGTTATTTTATAGACTGCAGGATTATTTGAATTTTGTTTAAGTTATCTTTAGGAAAAGTTATTTTTTATTCAGCTTTAAAACTAGAAATTACAAAATCAATTTATGCTTCTTAGTCTTCTAAATCACTGCTAGCCTACAAATCATTTATTGGTTTATGATAAGGAACATGTTGCTGATTTTTTTTTCCCCAGAGAAATTCTTTTTCCGGACCACTATTGAGTATCTGAATATTTTAAATCTAGTGTTGGAGTCGAAAGCTGCTATGATGATCTGCCAGATTCCTTCACTATCACATTCCTCTCTTTGAGCCAATCAAACAGGATCTGATTATGATGTTTAAGACGACGCCACACGTAGGCTGACTCTAGTCTGCTTCTGGAAATTGGTCCCTAGCCAAATCTGCCTGAGCTAGGATCCTGGGAGTCTCTACTTTGTTTTAATAGGACCAGGGCTGAGTACAGTGCTTACAAGCTAATTGGTCATGTCTCAGCAGACCAAGGATTCTAGTCCTGTAGCCTGTCCACATAGTGTGTGTGAAGAGAGTGTTTACTAAAACACCACCTAAGATTCTAGAATATTTAATACTGGCAGTTAGCATATTAACTCTCACTCATACAATTTTTTAGAGAGCTACATTGTTGTATGGTAGAAAAAACATGTCATCATTCAGAATCCTAGATTTAAATCCCGTTTTGACAATCAGCTAGTTATATGACCTCAAGAATTCAATTAACCTCTTTTAGCCTTTCATCTGTGCTGGGTCTAATACCTACTTTGCAGGGTTGCTGTGAAGGCCCAACAGCAATGTAACTAATTGGCCATGGAGCTAATCCCAGTATGTGTTCTAAATAAATGGACCCGAAACCTCTTGAACATGAGGTCCCATGTGTCCTCATGTTCAAGTTCACGATACTTCCAAGGACATGTGGGCTTTTTCCAGTAGCAAATATGGACATTAAGAGCAAAAACCTATTAGGGAATCATCAAACAGTCTCCTGGGCAATAGAAATTTGCCCCAGTAGTTGGAAGTAGTCTGACTTAATACCTTCATTGTCAGTTTGTATACAACTACATTTTAATTGTTTCCCGATTTTATTTGTGAAGTACATTATTTAAATTCTGAAGGCTTCAAGTTTAGTGGATCTCCTAAAGGAACTAGTAAATAATGGAACTGTACCTGTGCATTAATTAGATTATCAGTATGATATACTGTGAGATTGGACTGAAGTGTAAACTTTTCTATTTATACTGTGGAAAACTATTTTCCCCTCACAGCTTTGAAGAGCCCAGCAGCATTCCATGAACAGATAAAAAGCTTGGAACGAGCCAGAGTAAGAAACTTCACTTTAAAAATGTTCTGCTTCTCTGCTTTATTTTAAAGTTTACCTGTGGACAAATAGCAATATTACTATATTTTCTCTGACATATTTAGGAGTATGTCTTCAAGGTACATGATGTAGACAGCATGTATTCTGGGGTAGCTTGATCTTGGAGATTTGTAGAAAAAATTTTTTAAACCAACAACTACTTTTATACATAAGACAAATCATACTTCTTCACTTCCTTGCTTTCAGGGTATAACAACAGTTTTTAGAGACATAATACAGAATTCTGCCATTTATTGCCAAGGAGGACAGCCAAGCGATATGCTGACTCCAGATGCTTAGGTGATTTCCCTACTTGGTCTCTATTGGCCATGATTTCAACTGAGGGTAGGAGAGTTTGGCTAAATCATAGAGCATTGCTGAACTCAACTCTGAGATGACTCTGTCATAGTGTCATAGCACACTGGTGTTTATTATTTTTCTCTGAAAGTGCCATTATATACATTCTTCCTGGGTATTTTTTTGGGGGGAAGGGCGGGGGTGGATAATATCATGCAGCATGAAAATAAGCATATTCCAAAAATTCCTTAAGAATTTTCCCAGAATTCAGTAATGATCTCTGAGAGTCTTATAAAGTTCATTTTAAAGCCCTGTTGTTTAAGTATAATTCCAACTGAGAAAATTCATTACTAAGAAATTTGGTTTCTAAATGGATTTCTATTTGACCTAACATGCAGATTGATTTTTTTTTAATATCGAAATAATTAAATCCTATGTCTATCCAAATATCACCTTCAAAATCATGAGCTTTTGATTTTGCCAAGTTTTAAAAGTCTGTAAAGTCCATGCACTTTAAGATTTTGAAATCTGAAATTTAAATCATGTGTTGGGTAGTAGTTTCTATAGGTATTAATTTCTAGTCTTTCTCTCAAACACATGACAAAAAAGGGCATATAATTTACTTAAATGGAGTACCTTGAAAAAAATTAAAATAAATCATAAATAACTTATGATAAGACTTTTACCATTTTTCTCCCCACCACAAAGACTGAAAACTTTTTGAAACACAAGATACGGAGTCGACCAGATCGTTCTGAACTTGTCAGGATGCACATTTTAGAAGGTAAAGGTTTTTTTCTGCTTATTTTGTTGTGTTTTCTCAAGCAGTAGGAAAGCCTCCATAGCTATTTATTCCAATTATAATAACTTTTTGCCCCCACCCCCGGCTGACATTCTCCAAATTGGATAGAAACGCTAAAATTCTGTGTTATATACAGGGCAAGGTTTGAATCTCCAAGTAAACAATTGATGGATGGCTTTCCCACCAGCTGGTGCCTCCTCTGTTCCGTTTTGGGCAGACATTTTTTGATCCAGAGAGTTTATCTATCATTGAGGAATATGTGCTCTACTCATGAAGTAATAGAGGGCATCAACAGGTCTAACCCCAGAATTTCAGCTATGACCTTGTTTATGTCCACCTGGCTCAACTCCTCACTGCAACTTACCTAAAATATCCAGCCCGAAATGAAAATTACCATAAACACCCCTACCAACGCACAGAAAGTAAGTGATCTAACCTCATCACTTAAGGTCCTTGGAGGAATAGTTGCATTCCATTCTTGCTAAACACGTGGCTCAGGCCTAGGTACTTTTCCTCTCTAAAGAGAGCATTCTTGAAAGCTAGCACCTCTACCAAAAAGTCCCAAATTACATTTTCTTTCATTGTTTTGCTTCTCTGTTGAAACTAGGGGCTTAATCCTGTGATAGTTGTGTCTAAGACTTCTTAAATATCTAGAGCCAGTTATCCAGTAGAAAGAAGATCTGTTCTACATAGGCCTGATTAGAATTAGAATTAGGTTGATTTTACAGAAAGTATTAGATTATAGCTTAATATGAGGAATAACCATATTAAAGGCGAGACACTTGTCCAAAAATGAAATCTTAGAGGTGTTCATCCACTGGCCAGCATACTAGAAACCGAGAGAGAGCAAGACAAATAGATGCCTGCCTTCCTGGAGTTTGTGTTCATAGTGGCAGAGAGAGAAAATGAACAAACAAAACTTGTGAAATTACAGACTATGAATAAACAGGTTTTTGTGAAAGAGAACATCCAGGATGACACTACATAGGATACCATGAAGAAGCTCCAAGTATGCTGGGCACAGTGTCACATATCTGTAATCCCAGCAACTCAAGAGGCTAAGCCAGGAGGATCTCAAGTTCAAAGCCAGCCTCAGCAACTTAGCAAGGCCCTATCTCAACATAAAATCTACCAAGGTTTGGGAATGTGGCTCAGTATTAAGTGCCCCTGAGATCAGAAGGTACCAAAAATAAAAGAAGTTCCAAGTATGGTCTCCTTCAGCCTAAAGCTCCTACTATTAACTGAACAATAGCAGTAGTCCATTTTTCCCTAATGGCCATGTTAATTCAAGTCTGTGGGCATCCATTTGTATAGATAGGTAAATGGTAGAGCTAACAGACTGTATGCTGGTGCATTCTTAAACAATCATAACTCCTAAATATGTTGAAATCTGTTTAGTGAGTTGACTTGAAATAACATCATGAAATAGAAAGAGTAATTCAAGTAATGGTTAAAACTTTCCCTTTTAGAAACATTTGCTGAGCCATCCCTGCAAGCTACTCAGATGAAGTTGAAAAGAGCTCGACTAGCTGATGATCTGAATGAAAAGATTGCGCAAAGGCCGGGACCCATGGAGCTGGTGGAGAAGAACATTCTTGCTGTGGACTCTGGTGTCAAGGAGGCAATGATAGGCAAGAGCAGACTTCACCATCTTCTGAGAGAGGGTGGGAGCTCTAGAGGAAAGGCCAGCACTTAACTAGAAATTAACACTTACAGTGATTCTTGTTACTATTATCTTACTGCTAATTAGGTTAGCATCTGCTACCAGTTACCTCAGAGTCCCCTTTATGATTGAGGTTTAAGCCTGCTGTTATTTCATTATCACATTTTCCAGGTTAAATCACTATATTATACTATTTAGGATGTATAATATTTTTACAAACTTTTCATTGTTTTATTTTCTATTTTCTTCTAGAAAAGATAGCTTGTTCAGGAAGGAGAATAGCAGATGAATATGGATGTATTCTTTCAATGGTAGTTATCTGTCCGCTTTATCCTGGTCTTATCATATTTACTGATTTTTGTTTTGTTTTCCCCTGGTGCTGGGGATTGAACACAGGGTCTGCACTTATGCATGTGCTCTTCTACTGAACTACACCCTCACCTCCAGTATTACTCTTTCTGGTATAAGCTTTAATGGAGAAAAATCCTTTCAAGAATAATGCTACTTATTCTGTAAGCAATATTGAAAAGTTACTGTCCTATCTTAAATACTATAGCTTCCCTTAGACCTGGGCTTTTCATATTTTACATTAGTGACTTTAACACATTGGCAATTTATACTCGTGAATTCTCATCAGACAAGTATGACTCTATTCAGTTTTGGAAATTGGCCCTCCAGAAAATATGAGAATCTAGCTGGGCTTTTCCTTGAAATGGGAGCTTCTCAACTGATACCCCGTAATAACCTCGTTTTCCCCATTGCCTTTTTTTTTTTTTAAAGAGAATTTTTTTTTAATATTTTTTAGTTATCGGCGGACACAACATCTTTGCTTGTATGTGGTGCTGAGGATCAAACCCGGGCCGCACGCATGCCAGGCGAGCGTGCTACCGCTTGAGCCACATCCCCAGCAGCCTTATGTTTTTTAGTACTTGAATTACACGATAGGGTCCAGACAAGGTCTACTCATTGCCTTCGGCTGGTATATCTCAATCTTCTTTTTCCTTCCCTTTTTTATCTATTGGTGGACAAGACGGACTTGTATTGTCCACTAGCATGCCTCATTCTGCATTTTCCTGATTGCATTCCCAGATGTCACTAAAAATATTCCTATCCTTGTGTTTCCTGCAACTGATAGTTGGATCCACATTTTTCCTCCCTTCCCACAGAATACATCACAAGTAGTGGTGTGTGCTTCCATTGGGAAGTTTTTTATATTCAATTGTAATTTAAGAGCTTCTCAATTCTTCTGGGAAATAGTGTTCCTCCTCTTTCATAGTAAGCTTGATATTCCAGGGCCTTTGTGAGTTAACATTCATTTCTTCCTCAGGTGTTGGGAAGGACGACTATCCCCACACTCAGGGTGATTTCTCATTTGATGAAGACAGCAGTGACGCTTTATCTCCAGACCAGCCAGCGAGCCAGGAATCACAGGGGTCAGCTGCATCCCCGAGTGAGCCAAAAGTTAGTGAATCCCCATCTCCTGTGACTACAAACACTCCAGCCCAGGTATTATTTTTCTGGTTTTGACCCCTAAAAAAGTTTCCTGTTTTTTATATAGTGTATAAAGCAATTCATTTTTATCAGAAGAAAAATGAAAGGTTAAAAAAATACTTTTCAGCACTATGAATGCTGTTTTCAGTGATTCTTACCTATTATTTCTGCTGTACATACACATTTTGCAACTTGCTTTTTAAAAGCCTCAACATTTCCTGACATGTGTTTTCACATAGAAAAAAAATCTTATCATTGTGCAACAGATCAACTTTTTTTTTTAAATAGCGAAACTAAAATTTTATACCCAATAAACAACTCTTCCATTCCCATGTGTCTTCTGCTCTGTGAGCTACGACTACTCTACATACCTTATAACAGTGGGATCCTACAATGTTTGTCTTATTTCACTTACTATAATGTCCCCAAGGTTCACTCATGTTGCAGCATGTGACAGGATCTCCTTTCTTTTTAAAAACTGAATAATATTCCATATTTGGAGAAATGTCTATTAAAGTCTTATCCCCATTTTTAAATCAGGTTACTTGCTGTGCTGAATTGAAATTCTCTAGGTATTCTAGGTATTAATCCTCTGCCAGATATATGGTTTCATGTGGTTGGAAACGCTTCCTCCCTTGGATTGCTTCTTCACTCTGTTGCTTTTGGTGCAGTTTTAGATTTGGTTTACTCCCATTGTCTGTTTTTATTTTGTTGCCTGTGCTTTGGTCACATCTAAAACATCATTGCCAACGTCATTAAGCTTTCCTGTTTTCTCCGAAGAGCTGTTCTTTCCTCATTGGATGGGCTTGGCACCCGGTTGAAGGTCATTTGACCATGTACAGGAGGGTGGACTTCTGGGTTTTGTTCCACTGATCTCCATCGTCTGTCTTCAGGCCAGTATCACTCTTTTGTAGCAAGTTTGAAATCAGAAAGTGTGAGAACTCTACCCTTTATTCCTCTTCTGCAGTAGAGTTCTTTGAAATTCCATATGAATCTTAGTATAAATTTTTTTTCAGGGAAAATTCACCTTTTTGAAGATTCTGTTGAGTTTTAATATATTCAGAGTTGTACAACCATCACCCAAAAAAATCCACATCCATTAGCAGTGTTGCGCCTTTACCCCTCCACCCAAGCCTGGGAAACCATGCTTTCTGTCCAATTTGCCTTTTGTAGGCAGTGCATATAAACAGTTATATACTATGTGACCTTTATGATGGGTTTCTTTCACTTTTAGTGAAATGTTGTGACGATCCAGCCATGAGATGGCTGAGAATCCACCCAGGGCCTTACTACTGAGCTACACACCTGGCTCTGAGAATTGAGTGTTTTAATTGATTGTTGTTGTTACTGACATTGAATTCATTTGTTTAGAAACTATTTAAGCACCTCTGTCAGATATTATTTTAGCACATGCAAAGGAATCTAATGAATATTTTGATAATTTCATTGGAAATTAACATTTTTTAATGAGTATTCATATTTGCTGGTTTGACAAGAATTCCTATGGTGCACATCATTTGTTCTTCATCTCTCCTTATAGTGTTGGGCCTTACTATTGAACTGCTTAATAGAAGTAGTCCAGTGCAGCAAAACATGCTCTTATATTGTAAGCACTATAGAACTAATTTGGAAAGGAATTTAAGAATTATCTGCTTAACCCCTTGCATAAGGCAGCCTGAGTTCACAGAGGTGTAGAGTTTGGAGAGCAAACTTTTTTCATCATTTCTGTCTACTTGTGAGCATCTATTAGGAAAAGTGTCTTTTAGCATTAATTTCTTTATTGCTTTCATTTGTTGTCTCTGTGCCTCCAACTAAAATGTGAGCTTATTACAAGAGGGATCTTAATTCGCAGAGGACTAGAAGTCCTTGGAGGGATGTGTTCAACAGCTAGCACAGGGCCTGGTGCAGAAAGATACTCAGAAAACTCAGCAGCAGTTCAGACTGATGCTACTTGTGGAATGCTGTAGAAATTTCTGTTGTTCTTCCGTATGAGTGGAGATAAAATCCTCCTACCAAAGCTCACAGGCAAGAGAGACTGGGCCTGGAAGAAGGATGAGGGTCACTGACCAGCCCCTGATGGGTTTTCACGTATTTGCTGCACCCTGGTTTGAGCTTTAAAAATAAAGCTAAAAAGAATGTCAAGTATGCAAGAAAATACCATTAAAAAGTTCTCATCCATTTGGGTTGTCTGTTCTCGGAGTAGGTCAGGATGTCAGATGGCTATTAGTATGGCCTTAGTGACACAAAATTTTTGTCAGCGGCTTCACTATAGTTCTGCCTGCATAAGAGGTTATCATTCTCCTTTCCCGTGTATTGCTTATATCATTGCATTTTTTCCTTTGCAACTTGGCTGAAGACAAAGTTTATAAGTGACAGGCTTTAACCAGAGGGAGTCGCTGACATTCCAGAATTATTTGGAGAAAAATAGAAATGGCTTTTTTTCATTGAAAAAGTATGAAAAGCCGGGCATGGTTGCACACGCCTATAATCCTAGTGACTTGGAAGGCTGAGGCAGGAGGATTGAGAGTTCAAACCTAGCATCAGCAACTTATCAAGGCCCTAGGGATGTGATTAAGTGCCCCTGGATGCTACTGAGGCACACACACTAAGGCTTGGGTCAGTCCTGAACTGAGGCTTTCAAGCCTTTGGGGTACCCCACAAGGACGAAGGTTCAATTCCCAATACAATGAAAAAAATGTAGGATGAATAGTCTCCTTAATTCTTAGCTGCTAGAGGATTAACAGTATCCAAATATTAAAAACACCCTTTACCAAAAAGTTTTACATACAACACCTAGGTAAAGAACCAGTTTTTCAGGCACTTCTCTTGCGCTCCTACAACCAAAATGCTAATGACATAGCAATACAAAAAACTATTTTGAAGGAGGCATTTCTGTTTGATCTGTAACACCAAAACTGTTCCTGGATTACTCCATTCTGCTCAAACTACAGTTAGAAAGGAATTTACCCAAATATCAATGGAATATACATCAGAAATTGGAGCTCAACTTATTTTATGCTTAAGCAACTTTGAACAATGGAAAGCTGTAGAAAATTAAAAATGGCTGTAGCTATATGTGAAGTGGTTACACTGGTCCTTTCAATACAGAGATTCTTAGCAAGTTCTTAAGCCCTTAAATTAATCATTTGTTATACAGTATTGTTTAACCATAACCATTACCTAATGGGACTTATGTGAAGTTTAGTAGTGCTAAAAGAAACTTGTTGATCAACTATTCAGTGTATTTTCGAAAACATACACTTAGGAGCCTTTCATAAACTACTTTTTTCCCATTGTGCCAAGTAACACTCAGGTATATGATCTTTTGTCAAATGTAGAAATCTTAGGTTTAAGCTAAAAAGGAAAGTAAGCAGAGTCTACAGCAAGCCATATGCACATATATTAAATAATCAAAGTTAGATGAACTTTGATCACAAGTACTTATCAATAAGGACCTGAATAAGACATAGACTCCATTATCCCCTTTGGTTATGCTGCCTCTTACAGTTTCACAGTAGAGGCTGGAAAATCTGTCTCGTTCTAAGTTTTAACTCAATTTTCTATGACTAAAAGCAAACTTCCTAGAATAGTACATTATGCAGAAAAAACCTCACCTATTTATAATGATGAATCTTCATTGAAATGATAAAACATGATGAGCACTCACTATGAGGCAGACACTAAGCTGCTTGCTTTGATTGTATTACCTATCATGCAAAAGGGGCATCTGATTCACTGAGGGTTCAAATTAATGTCCATTTTCTCATTAGACCAATAGTTCAAGATTATTTTCCAACACTGCTATAGTTTGGGTTTGGAATGTCTCCCAAAGCAAAGTCTTGGTCATCAGCCCATGGAACTATTGAAACATGGGAGTTTGCTTATCTAATATTTTAGGCTAATAATTTGTGATTTCAGTAATTCACAGGGGGTAGAGCTCTAAAGTAACATTTCAAAAAAATATTTTTAGTTGTAAATAGACATAATAACTGTTTTTTATATGGTGCTCAGAATCAAACCCAGTGCTTCACACATGCTGGGCAAGCGCTCTACCATTGAGCCACAACCCCAGCCCTAAAGTAGCATTTTTTTTTTAATGTGACTAAATTTGGTATTAAGATAGAATGTCATGCCAGGCTATGGTGAAACACCTGTAATGCCAGACACTGGGAAGGACTGCAAGTTCAAGGCCCACCTGGACAACTTAGCAAGACCCTGTCTCAGAATAAAATGAAGGTTGGGAGTGTGGCTTAGTGGTAGAACACCCCAGTACCATATAGCAGGGCAATGGAAGGAAATGTCCAATTCCATGGTAACTACAAAGAAAATATCTATAGAATTTACAGGAGAAGGGAATCAAAACAAGTCACTACAAAGTCAACCAAATGCATAGATGGAAAGACATCCTGTGTTTTTAAGGTATTAATACTACCCAAAGCAATCTACAGATTCATCAATATAATTCCTATTTTTTATAGGGATTATAAGTTTTGGCAGAAAAAGTCAAGGGACCTGAAAAAAAAAATTTTTTTTTAAATGTTGACAGTCTTACCTTTTTTAATTTTTAAACTCACTACAGAGCTACAATAATTAAAATAACATGGTACAAGCAGAAACACTGGTATTCAGAGGTGTGGAATAGAGCAGAGAACTAAGAAACTTTGACATTCATTTTCAGATGATCTTTTACAAAGGTATGAAGACTATCCAATGTGGAAAAGACAGTCTACAACAAATGGTACTGGGAAAACTGGATATCCACAGGCAGAGGATGAAATTATACTATATTTGCCCCAGCAAACACAAAAATTAACTCAGAATGTAAGAGCTAAAACTATAAAAACTCTTAGAGGAAAAATCTTTGATACTAGTTTTGGCAATGATTTCTTGGATTTGACATTAAGTCAACAAAAGTGAAGATAGACAATTGGGTTTTGTACAAAAGTTATTACTTTTGATAAAGAGTAGTATCAGCAATGTAAAAAGCCAACCCAAGAATGGGAAAAGAATATTTCAAAACCATATATCAGGGCTGGGGGTTGTGGCTCAGTGGAAGAGCGCTCGCCAAGGCATGTGCAAGGCCCCGAGTTTGATCCTCAGCACCACATTAAAAAAAAAAAAAACAGTAAATAAGATAAAGGTATTGTGTCCAACCACAACTAAAAAATATCTAAACATTTTTTTAAATAATATGAGCTAGTATCTGGTATATATAAAAAAAATTCCCACAGTGACAGAAAATAACCTTATTCCAAAATGGGCAAAGGTCTTGACATTTCTCCAAAGATATACAAATGCCCAACAAACATAGACAAGACACCCCAGTGGGAATGTCAAATGGTGCAGCCACTATAGAAAATGGTGTTGGCTCCTCTCTCTCTCTCATATATATATATAAAATTCAAACATTTGGTTCTACTTCGTGTGCTGGTTATATAACAGTTAAGGAATGAGTTTTCTCCTCTGAAAATGAGCCTAGAGATAAGTATACTCATTTCCAAAAATTATGCAAGATCCTCTAACAGGTCGTCAAGACAATACCTTTCATCTGGTGTGTAAGTTTGGTTGGTCAGAGGTTCGTTGAGGAACTGGACATCTCAGGCTTGTTTAGGGGCAGAAATCTGCTGGAACATGAGGATAAAGTCTCTTAGATGAGTCCTTTACCTCCTGAAATGAAATTGAGTACAGACATCTTTACAAAGTAGACTCATTTATATTGTCAATAATTACTTAGAAGTTGAAGTCAGTAGCAAAACCTCAAGGAGAAAACAGACATGGGCATGCACTGTTAATGGCAGTCTCACACACATGGAAAACATAACCTAGCTGAGTAAAGCCAAAAGGATAACTGAATATTTGTTGAGTAACTATGTGCCAAGCTTCATATTTCTTGCTGCTAATAAAAATAGATGACCTGAAAACTCATTAAGAAGAATATAGTTTGCTATTTTACAACCCAAATATTTAAATAGGAGTATGAGTTTGACTGTTGGTGTAATGAGTTTGAGAGTTGTTTGGGGAAGTGAAAGTGAAAAAAACGAAGACATTTTCTTTAAGATAAAACAGGTAATAAGTAAGTCCAAGTAATAGCAACATGTAACACTCAGCTGATTTATCGTAATGTAATCTATTTAAAGGAGATTGCAAGTAAGGTTTGATAAAGCCCTTTCCTTCTGTGGCTTTCTGTGTTGATCTGTGGGCTCCATATTGAGATTCAGTAGCTGTTGTTTGGACCTGGGAAACAAAACAGCTTTTCATTTCGAGATGGCATTGTCAGAAAAACAAGTCAGTCTTGCCAGAAGATATCCTCAGCTCTTCTCTTGGAAGAAACAGGGCAATGTGGTTTATGAGAGTGCTAGTCAGGCTTGCAGACGGTAGTTGGAGAGCACGTTTAAGGACTCACAGGTGGAGTGGGCCTCCATGAAGAGATGCTGCCCAGTGTGGGAACAGGGCATGGATCCTTTGGGCTCTGCAACAAAGACAAAAATACCATCTCAGTATTTTTAGAATTGGCCAGGGTTAGTGTGACCAGTCTAGCAAGGAAACCTTCATAAATACCATGTATTGTTTTGATCATTTTTACAATCTTGGACTTTTTTTCCTGCCAAAAAAGGGTGGTTCTCTGAGAAATACTAGAGTTTAGTCACTCTAACCTTATTTAGCTTCAGCCACTGAGTGTTACAGGGGCAAAGACTGAATAACTGGCTCCAGTGAGGTAAAGCATCTTGATCCATCATCCGGATATCAGACAATAGTATATTTTTCCTTTATTTCTAATGAGGTCATTCCCTGTTAATTCTGACTCTTCTATTTTTTATGGTCACTGATTTCACAAACTTGTTCCTTTTCTGCCTGTTCCACCAGTTTACTTCAGTGTCCCCAGCAGTTCCTGAATTCTTGAAAACTCCTCCAGCTGTGGACCAGCCTCCCACAAGGTCCACTGCTCCTGTCCTCCCCACGAACACTGTGTCCTCAGCGAAACCTGGCCCAGCACTGGTGAAGGTGGGTACTCTGGTGCACAGCCTTGCAGAGCTTATTGCACTTCTGTCTGGAGTCCGGACAAAACACGGAGGCATCACCCGAGCTTCCCAACCTGCCTTTGAGCCCGAAGCCTTGAAAACTAACCCATGAAAGCCTAGCTAGACTGGGGCCTTCATTTGAAACTGCCACAGTTAACACGAGACCTGTTGTTCTATAGTCACAGAAAAAGGGCACAGAATTTGGCCTACATAAAACTGCTGGGGCAGAGTGGCAAGGCTTCAGGAATCCCTTCATCAGCAGTTCCAAGTTCTGCCACTCAGGCTACAGAGATGAAATGGGGGGCACGGTAAGATGGAGTTGCTTCAGCACAGCACTTGAGACTCAAAGCTTCCCAAACAGATACCTTTAAGGCAGCATGGTTTGGAACTTGGTGTACAAGGTTGATCTCCATGGTATTTTGGATAGATTACGTGACAGATTAAAGGTTTTAGAGAAGCAAATGTTTTTTCATTTAGCAGATTTGGCCAGATGAAGCTTGGTTTGTCTCAGATAAGCTTTAGATTTGTGGCTCTGTTCCCTGCATTTACTTGGTCAGAGTGAATCGGAATAAATCCCAAGAAAGAAAATTTGACAGTTCCTTTTTGAACTTCTTAATGAAATAGATGGGGAGAGTAAACTGAGGAACAGTCTAAACATTTCCTAGGTAGCTTGTGCCAAAACTGCCAGAATACATATCTCAGCCCTTTAGGACTGAAGAGGGACATTAGAGAGTTAGGCGATCTCTCCCTGGGGTCCAGAAGCAGCAAGAAGCCACAAGGCCAGGAAGGGGCTGGGCCACCTCCCATGCTTGGGTTCAACCTTCTTCCCACCATTGCAGCCTACTGCAACCTCTTCTGAGGCAAGGGAGTAGCTTTCAGACTGGAGTGGCACATATTCCTCCCTCCCATCTCTCTACTGGAGCTTGTCCTTACTGAGAGGCACTCTGTCAGCATGACCAAGTGTCTGTAGCTTTAGGACATACGTAAGCATATGTCACCATCTCTGGAAGAGTGATGAGTGACAACTACACCAATAAAATCGGCCCTTGCCACCTCTTCCAGCATCTCTACACACTCTCCACTGACAGCAGAGAGCGCGCTCTGAATACCAGCCCATCTTTATCTACTAACAGTGAAAATTAGCTCTCTGCTTCCCCCTCTGAATTTCTGCTTTTCACTGGTGTCTTTCAGGAGGTCTTTGGTTCTAGAGGAGCAGTGCTGTTGGAGAATGTGGAGTAGGGAACCCTAGGACAATGACAAGAAAGGAAGGACAGGTCATGTTAGGAAGTGGACCATGATTCTTTTGGCTCTGCTATGAGGGGAGCAGTCTCCTACCCTCACTTACTAAAAGAACACATGTGCTGCCATTAGGGGATAGCAGATGGAGCCTGCGATCCACTGGCCATTACGTTTACGAACCCTCCAGGTTCCCTCCCTACCCCACGTAGGTGGTAGGCTCCTTCTGGCTAAAGTAGCTAAAAGCGTTTAAATACTAGTAATTTGGAAATGGGGGAAGAAAAAAAAAGAGGATTAAAAAGTATCCAGGCTCTAGGCTGGGGTTGTAGGTCAGTGGTAGAGCACCCGCCTCGCACGTGGGAGGCACTGGGTTCAATCCTCAGCATCACCTAAAAATGAATAAAAGGGTTGTATCCATCTACAACCTAAAAAAAAAATTATAAAGGGTACTAACTTTGTTCCACAGTAAACTGAGCAGTGTCTTAAAGCCTTAACAAGAGTACCAGATAGATATGTGTATATTGCCATTAAGACCCAACTTTACCTTGTGGGCCGAAAGAATCAATCACAGTTGTTTCCCTAAAGAAAAAACAAAGCTGCAGACATTACCATCTTGTTGGATCTGATCACTGCTCCTACCCGCAGGTTATAGGTCTCAAGCCACATTTTGAGTATAAATAATCCTTATTAATTTTTTATGATCAGTTTGAAAAGATAAAATCACTGATAATAAAAAATAAGCAGCTCATAGTGAATTAATACTACCTGGTGTACTTAATCAGGCAAAAATGTTCTCTGACAGTGATAAGTACTTCAAGTACCTGATAATTAAAATGATTTCTGCTCACAATCACCATTCCTCCACTAGATACTACTTATACCTTCTATGGTGCCTGCCGCTGTTCCGGGTCCTAGGAGACAGATGAAGCAGTGAGCAAAATCTCAAAAGCCCACCCTTAGAATAAACAGACCACAAAGAATAACACAGGATAGGGAGTGCTGGGGCAAAGGTGTGCTTCTGTTTTAAATAGGGTAGTCTGGTGACTTTGGGATGGAGATCTGACAGAGGTGAAGGTATAAGCCATGAGTCTACTGAGAAAGAAGCCAGTACAACTTGGCCAGGGACAGCCCAGGGTAAAAAGCAAACCCTATAGCTAGGGAGCAGTGAGAACAGAAGGGTTGAGCCTATAGCTGTCAGGAGAAGCTGCTGGAGGGCGAGATCTGGAGCGTTGCACACCGTGGAAGGGCGGCAGCGGAAGCAGAGAACTGGTGAAGGTGGCATCTGTCAGGGAAGTCACAAGTGACCGGCTTCTGAGTGGAATTTGAAGCTTAATAAGCTGGCAGGGTTTGCCAACAGATTGGCCCTATGGGTAAGAGGGGTCCTGGACCAGTCGCCATTTGTGTCTAAGCAGTGGGGATTACTATGAAGGGAGGGAGCACACCTGAGTTTGAGGTGCTTAGCAGACACCTTAAGCAGCTAAGGACAAAAAACACAGAAGTCATCACTGTATTTGTGTCCCGAAAGCCACAAGAGCCCAGAAAAACTGCCTAGGCTCAATGTAGAGGAAGAGGTGGTACAAGAACTCGGGCATGCCACCAGGGGGACGTGGGAAGGGCAGGACAGGCAAAAGAGCCCAACAAGAAGCAGCAAGGAAGTGGGCCAGGGACAAAGCCGAGGGAGAGAGGAGCGCGTCAGACACCGCTTTGGGTCTGTCACAATGAGTGCTGCGGTTAGCACCGTCAAAGTTAAGAGAATCTGTTCCTTGGCAACGTCACTGATGTGCTAGAAGCAAAAATTTAGAGAGTGAAAAATTAAAAGAGAACAGGAGAGAGTGTCATAGCCTTTTTGAAGACCTCTACTAGAAAGGAAGCCCATAGCTTGACTGGACTGTGGGGCCAAATTGTATGAGCCCACGGGGAAGACCCAGGAGAGCGGCAGGCATTGCTACGTGATCACTATGTATGGGCAAGGGAACGTTGCCTCAGTCAAAGTGCTGAGGTGCTGGGTGCTGGCCTAAGGCAGCAGCACCCACTGCTGGTTCTCAGCCACAGGAAAGAAAGCCACCTACAGTGTCAGGAACAGGTGGGCACTGGGTACGTGAGGAAGCTCTGTCAGTCACTTCCTCGGTGTTTAGGAAACAGTGCCATCAGGTGACAGTGAGCATGGGGAGAAGATAGATGGTAGTGTTCTAGAAGAGTAGGAAAATAATGGGATTAAAACAAGGTAGTAGAATGGTCAGTTGGCACTGACCAGCCATTGAAGTTGATGGTCGTGAATTTAAAGGGAGATGGGTTGCAAGTGTTTTGCCTGCAGCACTTCTACCTCCGTGAGTACAGGCATGGCATGAACCAACAGTTCTCACTAGTCTGCCACCCTGCTACAGGGACAGTTGACGATGTCTAGAGAAATTTCTGGTTGTCACAGCATCAGGAAAGGGTGGCTACCAGCATCTGTTGGAGAGAGGCCGGGGACACTGCTGACTATCTTGCACTGCACAGCATAGCCCCCCACAGCCAGTATTACCTGGTTTAAAATGTTGATAGAGCTACTATTGAGAATCCCTAAAGGAAGCAAAGAATCAGGTTAGGGTTTGGGAGGTGAGAGTGGCAAAGGTGGGTGAGGCCTGTGAGTGAAGCGTGGGAGATGGTAAGGAGAGGAGAGCACAGCTGTGTAAAGGTGTGAGTGGAGTGGACTGTAGCCTTCGGTGGCATTGGGGAAATGGAAGTGGCACCTTGGATGGAACAAGTCAACATAACAAGTGGTGGTTATTCAGTTAGGATTCTGGGAAGTAGACGACATGATCTCGCTCTAACCAGAGAGAGTGGCTGGAAGAGGAGATGAGCTATCCAGAGGAAGTGAAATCAAGGAACTGATACTAGAATATCGGAGGGTTGTCAGTATGGTTGTTAAAAATCACTGGGAGTAATGACAAGTGTTGGAGAAAGTAAGACAGGAATTGCTGGGGTACGGACTTGATAAAGAACTGAAAGACAGCCGGGTCATGTGGTCCAGTCTGAGAGAGGACGAGTCACGAGGATAAATCCTCTCCATATACCTTTTTATTTGCAGGGAGAGATGGTACTGGGGATTGAACTCGGGGGCACTCAACCACTGAGCCACATGCCCAGTCTTTTTTTTTTTTTTTAATTGAAAGGGTCTAAGTTGCTTAGCACCTCTCCATTACTGATACTGGCTTTGAACTCGCTATGCTCCTGTCTCAGCCTCCCAAGCTGCTGGGATTACAGGTGGGCACTACTGCGCCCGGCCACAATTACTTTTTATAAATTCTTACAAGTGTTCAAAATTAGGCTACTAGTTAGATCATGTTGTTATAGTGACATGCTGGTCAGTGTGTAACAACTTGGCTGAGGTCAGAGAGATAAGTCATAGCATTTGCCAGTTCTCCTGGTGTAAGTTCCCTCCATCATTGAGTGCAGAATTGGGAAAGCTGCATACATTTGGCTCTCAGACCTCACTAACTGTGTTCATAAACTGTTTCGTAATATAGCCACAAAAACCATGTTGCCGAGTTGTTCTGACAAGGGGAAAATTCTTGATATATCAAGTGGAGGACAAAAAGGCACATTTCTAGTAAGCATAGATAATATCGGAAGAATATACAAAAGAACATGAATAGTGACTATTTCTGGTCTGATACACTGTGGCAGTTTTGTTTTGGTTTCTTGGGGCTTTTTTGTGCAGTTTCCTAATTATATATGAACATATATAACATGACCAGTCAACATTTAAGTACTTCTCAAATTACTTTTTATTAAGTTGTGTTGTTACCTAAAGCAACTTAGAAATAATTTCCTAATGATTTTCCATTTTGGGGGGAGGTGGGGTGACTGTTTCCACAGATGAAATTACTCTATGAATACTGAAAACTACAAAATGATTTGAACCTAGTTTGGGTGTTGCACGCCTGTAATCACAGCAGCTCAGGAGACTGAGGCAGGAGGATCACAAGTTCAAAGCCAGCCTCAGCAACTTTAGAGACCCTGTCTCCAATTAAAATATTAAAAAGGGATGGGAACGTGACTCAGTGGTTAAATGCCCCCGAGTTCAATCCCTAGTACCCCCCCCCAAAAAAAAAAAGATAATTTATAAGTTAAGAACTACTCAAGAAAAAGTTACAACTCTTAATCATAAGATGAGGGATGCATGGTATCCCACCCCATTTTCAAAGTAAAAATGTAATGTGTTTGAAAGGTCTTTAAATTCACATTAAATATTTTAGATTTTTTTTATATTCTGCTTTACTCTCATTAGAATCACTTGTTTTTATATGATCTCCATATTTAAAAAGAAATTAGTGAAATACACTTAATCTTTTCTCTATTGTGTATTTCACATACAACCCGTTTTTTACTAGGAGATAACGTGTGTGTACACAGCAGAACCAAAGTGCATATTTGAGGAATTTAAGGAGGTAATGCTGGACTAAGCATCCAGCCTGCACCCTTCGGGAACAGTGGGGGCAGGAGAAAATGCCTTGGTCAATGTAAGTATAGAGATGTTTTTATGGCTCTTGAAATCTATTTAGTATATTGCTTCCCATAGTAGTTACAGTGGGTTCTAAGGTACACTGCTTGTTAATCTTTCAAACTCATAGCAGAATCAATTTTATGGAATGACATCTCTTAAAAATATTTTTTCCCCCTCAAAAATAGCAAAGCCATCCCAAGAATCCAAATGACAAACACCGTAGCAAAAAGTGCAAAGATCCTAAACCACGGGTAAAGAAGTTAAAGTACCACCAATACATTCCACCCGATCAGAAAGGTGAGAAGAATGAGCCACAGATGGACTCCAACTACGCCCGCCTGCTCCAGCAGCAGCAGCTGTTCCTGCAGCTGCAGATCCTGAGCCAGCAGCAGCAGCACTACAGCTACCAGACCATCCTGCCTGCACCAATCAAGTACGGGCGGGGTTGATGCACTTATAAAGTGGATTGTATTGTGGGTTTTAGGAGGACCTCAAGTTACCAAAGTTCAGATGTGCTGACTTATTTGTGAGCAGTGATTACTTTCAGTTTGTTATCAAAGCTCACCTCACCATAGTGTCTAAAGTCACACAGTGAGAATGGGCTACATTTCAGTGCAGGTTTTGTCCTCTAAAGTAGGGGCTAGGCTTTCTCAAGTTAGACATACCTTCTCACAATTATTCACTGAGGAAAGATATGCCTGTTGTATACTCAAAAAGGTATCAGATACTATGAAAAAAACTAAGCAACATAAACAACTACAAAGGAGAGATAGGTATAAACATAGGAGTTTGGTGAAATTGGCAAGATTATGTTCACATGGACAGCTGAGGAACAGGAATGGATAAGCAATACTGTGTACTGGATGGTAAGGAAAAATGCCTGAATGGAGAATGTGATTAAGGAAAGGGAGAGATAATTGAGTAGAGTCAGTGTCTGCAGGAATTTGAAGTTGGGCGGAAGATGTGGTAGAGTGGCTCAGGACAGTGGTGGTGCACAAGACTAGGGAACAGACCAAAGAGGACAAAGAGCACAGAATGAAAGGAGCAGGAAACAGGTGAATGGACAGTGAAGGCTTAGATGCCCCAACTATGGAGAAGGAATATGGTTCTGAAGTTTGATCCAATAGTGAGGGACTTAGGGAAGCAAGGCGTCCAACACCAAATCCACAGTTGCAGCAAGATGTCCATGACTTGTTTTGATGATGTAATATAGGAAGTTTCCAGGTGCACATTCCCACTATGTATTTTTATTTGTGAGTACCAGAAAAAGCAAAGAACCTGTCCTCTTCCCTCACTTTCCAGGAAATAATGCCAGCATTCGACTCTAGAAGACGACACAAAAACCTCATAAAGTGTTCTGTGATCTAGCCATTCAGTTTAGGATCACATGATCCATAGAAACTACTTCTGTTCCCTCTTGTAACCTAAACTTCCCTCCAGAGATAGCCCCCATTTCCTAGGAGAAGGATAGAAACCTACTGACAAGCTTCTCTGTGAAGAAATCTCTCCTTCATATGTGAAGGATTATCAATTCACTATTTTTCTCTGAAAATACAAATATCTTGAGGAAGATGAGACCTATTAGTAATTGAGGCCTTATTGTGAAGTACATGTCTAAGATATCAGGGCATGGGGATGAATAAAGATTTTTTTGCAGTATATTTTAAGAGCTCCAGGCCTGAGGGAGGTGTTAATATTGGAAAGGAACCAGGGAAGGCTACAGAGAGTTAGAACAGTATCCAAGACAACTGCCGCTACTTTACAGCTCCATCCAGGACCGGGCAGGTACCCTGTACTGCTGCCCTCGTTTGTATTGGGCACCAGTAATAACTGCCAGTCATAGTTACCATCCTTGTTATTTACCACTCAGGATGCTCTAACATTGTGCTTCATGCCCTGAATCACCACCCTCCCTTAATTCAGAAGGAATTGCTACTCCATTCCTGATGAGGAAACTGTTGAACTGAAAATTCCATTAAAGGATTTTCTTCCGAAGTGTCAATGCAACCATCTTTTCTATAATGACAAAATTTGGCTGCATGGACAGCTTTGTGGATGGGAACTTGCACTAGGATGCCGCTGAGCTCCTCCTATCCTTCCCCAAGGCTCCAGCTCCTTATACACTCCTCCACTAAAGTAACCACACCACATGCCCGGGGAATATGATCCAGGAACGAGAGGAGGAAAGCATACTTGTTTCGTGTATTATTTCACCACAGGAAGCCTGAATTAAATTCTGTCTAGTTTCTGGATCCTAAAAATGGAGACTTAGTAACACATTGCTTATCTTTACCAAAATCCCATTACAGAAAAACTGAAGCTTTACAGTGCCCATAGCAGCAAATTTCACCTGCATCATGTAGCCCTTTGTGCCACAGAAGGAGTAAGCAGCTGGGCCTCGGTTAAAACCACCTTGTCAGGAGACAGAGGCTGCAGAGGGTGGAGAAGGCCCATCGCAGTCCTCAGAACCTCAGGTCTCAGACTGCACAGTAGTCATATCTGTCAGCTTCCTCCTCCTTTTCCTGATTTTGAGTGAAAATGGATTAACTTATTTCTGTTAAACGTTGAACCAAACTCTGAATCATGGTCCCAAGTATTGTAGAATCTCAACCAAAAAGAATTAGTATCACAAGGGAGCAACAGGTGGTCCATGGATGAGGATGCTCTTAAGCAGACACACACACAGCGCACGTAGTACCTCTGACAGCGAAATGTCCTGGGGAAGGCACTAGAGGCTCCTTGGGGAAAACAACGGGGAATAAAAACAAGGCTGAAAAACACCAATTAAATAAGATGTTTTCATGACTCCAACATGAGATTTCAAAGTTGTGATTTTAGAAATGAAAATAATACATACTTGTCATTCCATCCAAATTTCAAGAAACTTGATCTCCAAGACTTTTTAAGTCTATATTCAACAAAATTCAGGCAGGTTTATAAGACCCCGAGATGAATATCAAGTTAACTGTTGACCAAGCTGCATTAGCTTCCACCACAGGCACTCTGCAGCTCCTGGGGCGAGCATGCCAACCACCGCCCTCACTGGGTCTTCAACTGTGGGGGAGAGGTATGCTGTGATCACCACAAGCCTCGCAGGTGGAGGAGGTTGAAGAGGGATCAGCTTGATATGGGAAGGATTATAAGGACATAGATACAGCACCTAATACCAGAGCTTGACAGCTGATCCACTAGCTCCTTGCGAATAAAGTCTAACTGCGTCATAAGTGAACACCTGTGCCGAAGTACATTCCACCCAGCAAAGGAAGGTCACATCACTAGGACCTCAGAGATCCCCTTTGGGGCTTTTCTTGGTCCCGACTTCTATCTCCATAAATTAGTCTTTCTTGTTTTTGAACTTCATATACATGCAATCTGACAGTAAACTTATGTACTTAGCTTCTTTTGCTCAGCATTGTTGGTGAAATACATCCTCATGATGCAAATAGCAGTAATGTTTATTTCTGCTTAGTATTCTATGTATGACTATACCATAGTTTATCTACCCACCATACTCTTGGGTTAGGTATGTCTTTCAGCCAGTTATCTACCTAGGAACAGAATTGCAAGGGTCATAGGGTAGCCACGTTTTTCTTTAGCCATTTCCACAGTTGGGTAAACTGGTTATATCAAGCCTCTGCTATCAGTGCTGAGAGATCCCCTTGTCTCAGGTGCTTGGTATTATAGCAATTCTGCTAGGTACACAAGGCTATTTGTGATGTGCATTTTCATTTTCCTTATACCTAATGGGGTTAAGCACCTATTCACCTATTTAGTGACTATTTGGATATACTTTATTGTATACCTGTCCAAGATTCCTTTCTGCTCCCCATCCCGTTTATCCATTAGGTTTTGTATTTTTGTGAGCTTTTTCCCTACACACACACACATTGATTTATAAGGCTTTCTTTAATACCTGACAAGGGACTCAGAACATAAAAGTACCACCTTTTTCCATTCTGTGGCTTGAGTTGTCACTATCTTAAAGATACCCCTTTTATTTACTGCCTTTTCTGTCCTGTTTTGAGAAATCCTTGTCCATCTAAAAGACATGAGGATATTATCTTAAGTTTTCTTATAAGAGCTTTCTTGTTTTCATGATTCACTTTTAGATTTGGGAGAATGATGCCAGATGGAACATTCCCCACCCCCACGTAAAGGTCCAGTTTGGCCAGCACCATTTATGGGAAGGATAACCCTTTTCTCCCTGCTACATGGCAGTCGAACCTTTTGATAACTCGGGGGCCCTGTATGCAGAGGTTTGTTTCAGGAGTCGCTCCCGTTTCCCATTTGTCTGCTGTTCTGTCCTTGCCTCAGCACCACACTGTTGAAATAACTGGATTCCTATCACATGCTGATCACTGGTGGTAGGGCTCTTCCAATGTTGCTGTCCTTCAAGGAAATGACCATGACGTGGCTGTTCCAAGTTAAACTATTAATAGAAGCAATAGCAAACCTATGAGTTACTATAAAGCTCTAATTTTCTTTTTCTTTTGAAGAAATGACAAAAATAACAGTGGGAATTCAGCTTTGACCAATAGCATGCCCGGCACACCAAGACAGAATCCATGTGCTCCTGTGAGAAAGCCAGGACCTCTGCCTTCCAGCTTGGATGACTTGAAGGTGAGGGTTCCAGGCAGACCCTACTCTTATATAAGTGCCCAGAAAATGGGAACAAATGGCCAGATTTGTCTGTCACATGTGCAGTTTTCAGTGGCCATTCAACCTTAGCAGCAAAATGACAAGCCTTGTAGGGGTCTTTTCTCTTTACTTCCCTTGTGCATCTTTCAAGATGAACAATAGGAGCTCTTAATTACCTAGCATGTGCTTTGTATAAGCACCATAGAGAGACCACATTCACATAATTTTTATTGCAGTGTATTAACAATTGTTCCATATTTTTAATTATTGCTATGTCTTACTGTGCCCAATTTATAAATTAAACATCAGTATTTGTGGGTATAGGAAAAAATATCGCATATGTAGGGTTCAGTACTCACCACAGTCTCAGGTACTTATTCCCTATGGATAAGGGGGCCACTGTGTACTCTTGATCTGCCAGAAAGTTATAAAAACCAAGAGACCTGATTTGTCTGTACCTCCAGGTATCGGAACTGAAGACAGAACTAAAGTTGAGGGGTCTGCCAGTGTCGGGCACCAAACCAGACCTCATTGAGCGCCTGAAACCCTACCAGGAGGTCAACAGCAGTGGCCTTGCCTCTGGCAGTATTGTGGCAGTGTCATCATCGGCCATCGTCACCAATAACCCAGAAGTCACTGTGGCATTGCCAGTCACAACCCCACAAAACGCTGTGACTAATTCAGTCTCTACTTTGAAGGCAGAAGTGCCGACTACTGCACCCACCAACACAGCCCATGCTGAAAACATTCATTCCCCTCTGCCAATCTCCCCCTCGCCCTCCGATCAGTCCAATTTGAGTACTGACGACACAAACATGGCAGACACTTTCACCGAGATCATGACCATGATGTCTCCCTCACAGTTCTTATGCTCCTCTCCCTTGAGAGTGGCAAACCATGAAGACAGCCTGAGCCCCACCAGCAGCACCCTGTCAAACCTGGAACTGGATGCTGCCGAGAAGGATCGCAAGCTTCAGGAGAAGGAGAAGCAAATCGAAGAGCTGAAAAGGAAACTGGAACAAGAGCAGAAGCTTGTGGAGGTTCTGAAAATGCAACTTGAGGTGGAAAAACGAGGGCAGCAGCGGCCACCAGAACCCCACCCTGGCACCCCTGCTCCCTCTGTCACAGCAGATCAGAAACATGGCGGCCCTGGTTCTTCCATCAAGGACGAGGCCTCACTCCCTGACTGCTCCAGCCCCCAGCAGCATATGCCTGTGGCCAGCCACTCTGTAGGCCAGCCCATCTCTACAGGTGGCCAAACCCTTGTTGCTAAAAAGGCTGTAGTCATCAAGCAAGAGGTCCCCGTGGCGCAGGCAGAACAGCAGAGTGTGGTCTCGCAGTTTTATGTGAGTTCCCAGGGACAGCCTTCTGCCATTGTCGCTCAGCCCCAGGCTTTACTGACCACGCAGACTGCTCAGCTGCTGCTCCCGGTGTCTATCCAGGGTTCGAATGTCACCTCAGTGCAGCTGCCAGTAGGCAGCCTCAAACTCCAGGTGGGAAGCATGTCATGAATTTGCCTTACAGCACACCAGAATGGAGACCAGTGACAGAACCCCCCAAGTCCTTTCAGAACACATCCATAGGAGTCACAGCTGTAGAACACATGTGGGTGAGGAGAACCATTCAAAAAAAAAATAGCTAGGACCGTTTTAAATGGTAAAAAACAGACACGGTGCCTTTCTCTGACCTCTTCCCTTCAATAAATGCAGTTTCATGTACAGATGCTTTTCACCCATTTTGTCCCATCACTTTGTATATTTGTTCAATGTCCTATATGTAGGGCAGTTTATATATGTGAAAGTCAGGATAGTATCTCAGTGTCCTACTTAAAGGACCACTTATCTTTATTCTTGATGAAAATAAGGATTTAGAGCTTATAAGTCCTTTATTTTTAGACTATTTTAATGTATCCATATCACAATTTCATCAAAATATTGGCAGATTTGAAAGTTTGGGACTTCATGGGTTCAAGGTCAGTGGCATTGTCATGAATGATAAGTGCTCCATGGCAGCAGCTTCCATACCCATCAGGTACTAAAGTGGCTTACTTCACTTAACCTTTCCTCCCCCAGAAAAGCCACATGATGTAGCCGAATTCTAGATGGGGAAACTGAGGCCTAGAACAGTTGAGCTCAAGGACAAAGCTGATGTTTAAACCCAGATCTTCCAGATTCTAAACCTCTGCTTTTACTCCATTCTATTCTGCCTCCCAGACTTAATTCTTGTAAGGCACACATTAATGTGAAGGTGCCTCAACTAAGGAGGCCATGACCACAGATGGAGGAGTGTGGATATCATGAAAAGGGGATAAAACACCCAAGGGTAGGTTTTGTGTTTACATAACCTGCCTGTTTACCTGAGGTGGTTTTTGTATATATGAGTTTAATAAGTTTTTCACAAAATGTGGGTCAGGAGTAAACAAACCATTTGGACCAGTACTTACCAATCTTGATAACCCAAGTGCTTCTAATAGCAGAGAGGAATACCCTTGTCCCCCTGTAGTTAGGGGGCGTGACCCAAAGGCCCTTGGCATGTGCACAAAGTCTGTCTCCCCATTCTGGCTCTTCAGCATCTATGCCATTGAAGATCTACTCCATAATATATCTTAAAATTTTTTTGATCCAAGTCTTCTATTAGAGTTGTTGTAGAAACAAAGACTTTTATTCTGTGCCTTTGTATACCCTAGAGCATTGCAGGCCATCCCCAGGGAGTATCTGCTGCAGCTTTAAAGAAGCAGGAATCTGGGCAGATGGGCCTCAGATTTCCTAGTTGCTATTAAATGTTTTTCAGTACCTCACCTATGAAGTGTAGTATCTATGTATTACTATTTTCATTTTCTAATTTTCCCAGTTTTCAGATATCATTTCTTATGCGACTAAGAAATTTAAGGGCATGAAAATAACTGGTTTAGTGTTTGATACTGATTTAGAATTGTTAAGTTTCCAAGATGAAAGGTTGGTCAGTGGGTATTTGACTAAGTTTTGGTCAAACAGCAGCAAGAAGTTCTAGCATGCTATTGTAGACGAGGGAGAGTGTATATAACAGTTGTGTACCATATATTTCAAAAAGCCAGAAGAAAGGAGTTTGAATGTTTTCACTACAAAGAAATGATAGGCGATTGGGATATAGCTTAGAAGTAGACCACTTTTCTGGCAAGCATGAGGCCCTGGGTTCCATCCTCAGCACCACAAGAATTTTTTTTACTGTTTGACCCGATTTAAACATTACACAGTAGTATGTGCATTGGAACCTTACATGGGTAGCCTATTAATATGTCTAGGTTCTGTTTTATATGTAAGTTCAAAAAATTTCAAATGGATTATTAAGTTTCAGCTTTATGCAAATGAATTGGAGTATGTACCTGTAAACATTCTTATTCCATTTTAGATTTGATTTCCAGTTAATTTTACATCTAACATCTTGAATCCAGCTCTGCTTGACAATTCACTGATTTTTCTTGACCTCCTAGACTCCACCACAAACAGGAATCCAGACTCAGCCTCAGACAGCAACTGCTGCACAAATACCAGCTGCGGCCCTGCCCTCAGGCCTGGCCCCAACTGTACCTCAGAAACAGGAGGCTTTCCCGCAGCATGTGCTCAGCCAGCCCCAGCAAGTCAGAAAGGTTGGTGGCTGATCCCAAAGGTCATCTCATCTTCCCCACCTGCTCCTTGGGAAGCCCCACTGCTTTTTCTTATGGTCTTTCTGCCACAGAACATGCCCTGGGTCAGATGTTGTTTGGAATTGAGAGAGTTCTTTAGTACTAATAGCTTAACAATTAAATCCTTTCCCAAGTAAAAGATTCAAAAGTATATTTTTTAATCCTTATATACTAGATTTAAAGAAATTTATTTTAAAACTCAGTAAAGTTAAATGTGCTATTCCCTGGTGAAAGATATGTGAAGATTGAAAGGATACTTCTGACTTCTCTCAAGATCTTTATGCTGTAGGTATTCAGAAACCACAGGCTTTTACCATCACAGCCCCCACTGCTGGGTGCTTGGCTTCCTGCACAGTTTACTCACTTCCTCATCTTCATATGAGGGTATTGGCCTAGGACTCATCCTGAATACAAGTTCCTTCCCCAGACTCCGATCTTCATCATCCCTCAGTGGGCTGGGAAGGTAGCTTAGAGGTGGAGCACTTGGCTACCCTGTGCCAGGCTGGTGGGGTGGGCAGGGTGTGCACTAAGTAAACAACATTCCCTCTTGTCCAGTAGGTGGAGCTGTGTGCACATCTTGCCAGAAAAATCCAAAAGCCCCCAAAACAGGTACCACTATCTTAAACCTTGAGAACTGAGTCCCAGGGTTTAGGCAGTTAGGTCTGCTATCAGTACGCCTTGAGGTAGTCCGAACTGCTGGACCCAAGACAATATGAAGGACAAAGATCAACGACCATTTTTAGCAGTAACAGTCATACTGACATGCTGTGGATCAGGTCCTCTCGGAGACACAGCATTAACTGTCCACAGTTGTATGTTACTGAGCTTCAGAAAAGCTCACAATACCATTGTCGTATTATTGTTATGAGCTCAGTAAGTGTTCACATGTTCAGACAGTTTTCTTTGGGTTAGGGAAGAAAGAGGAAAATATAGACACAGAATGACAAGTTTATTCACTAAGTCTTAAAATACTAGAATTAGGAATCATCATTTCCAGCTTACAGGAAATCATGTTTTACCAAATGTAAGGAAATTCAGCTTTTTCCAGTAGGAGCATATTTATAGAGCTCTTCACTCAGAGGTTATATATGTGTATCCATCCAAAAAGTATAACTTTTGTGCTTAAGAAAATACTCATATGCTGGGCCTGGTGGTACACACCTGTAATCTCAGCAGCTTGGGAGTCTTCAAGTTCAAAGCCAGCCTCAGCAATTTAGTGAGGGCCTAAGCAACTTAGCAAATTTTATTTTATTTTTTATAATTATACACACACACACGTATATGTATATACACACACACACACTCTCCAGATTTTTCAAAATATAAAATATATGTG